CGTATACCTCCCCGTGTAAAATTTTGAAACCATCATCACTTTCATAATTCTTCTATTCTCCACGAGTACCAACTTTGATTTTCCAATAGCACTCTCATTGAATGGTCTCACCCTCGATAGCAAACTGCTATTCCAATCCCATGTGGACAAGACATCCACCAAGCGTAACATCTTGATCAGGTCGCTCTACCCTCTGGTAAACAGGAAGTCCACCCTGTCCCTCAAAAACAAGCTTGCTGTCCACAAGCAGATCATTCTGCCGGCAATTGAGTATGGTATGCCAATCTGGGAGATTTGTGCTAAGTGTCACCACCTAAAGCTTCAGAGCATCCAAAACAAGATCCACAGAATGATTCTTAACAGTCCAACGCGAACTCGTAATTCTGAGATTCACCACCTGGCCGGTCTTCAAACACTCGGGGAGCGAAAGACGTCCACGCTAGAAAGGTTTAAAGTCGCCTGTCTGCGATCAAACCACCAGATCATTCGTGATTTGGCAACCTAGTTCAAGTAGTTAGGTAGGTTTCTGTGCTCAAGTAGGTAGGTTATCAAATTTTAAATTCAAACGGAAATAAGCCCTTAAAAGAGTATCCTGTAAATTAGCGCTAAACGCAATCATCACATGAGAATAACCAATTAACTAGAACAAAGTTTAAGAGCCAAAGGCTAACCAATTGAAATGTAAAACCAAATGTTGAAACTTAAAAAACCAGCAAATAAACGTAAATTTTACTACATAAAATTTTCCTATTCCTATCAATCAGAATCTAGCTGAGCACCGAGATTTGAATAGTATGTATGAGCTTAGTAATTACACTAGTTTACAGCATTTTTGAACTCGGTAAGGTGATGATAATTTCCACTGCAAAATCCTACGCTGAATTCAATGCCGTGGTCAGAAAAAATTAAAGTGGAGCCATTTTTGAGATATACAAAAATTTTGATTTTTTGAATTTTGGACAAAAGTACGATTACTAAAATGTCAATATCTTTGGAACTAATGCACCAATTTTAAATCTTTTTTATGAAAATGAAGCTAAATAAATTTGCTATCGTTCACTAGAATATTATGTCTTAATTAAAAATTTAATTTTGAAGTCATTTAAAAATTTACAGCATTTTTTTTTATTTTTCCTGCGAATTTTCCATAAAAATCTTGTTTTAATCAACATTTTTAATTGGATAAAAAGATTCAAAAAATCATTCCATAATTTATTCTTAAAGTCCATTCAAAACCGGAGAAAATGAGCCTTTAATGGATGAAATCGGTTGGAAATTGTCGAAGTTATGAGCATTTTTATAAAACACTTAAAAATGTTGCTGAAATACAACAGCTTTAGAGTTCCTTTTCTAGGTGTCGTTGTAAGCATCCAAATCGCATGTAAAGTTTTCATGGGAGATTCTTTTCTCTACATATCAATTTGATTAAGGCATATCAGGATTTAAAACCGAGTTGATACAAAAGAAATTTATTTAGGTTTTATTATAAATGATTGAGAATCGAATGACTTTGTCTTCGATGTTTTGAACTTGTTTCTCGAATCAGAAACCAACAATAGTCACCCATCATTGCTTCATCCCAAAACCCTTGGTAACGACGTTCCATCATCTTCATTTGTTGGTGAAAACGTTCGCCGTGCTCATCACTCTCGTCACCAAGATTTTCCGGGAAAAAATCCATGTGAGAATGTAGGAAATGTATCTTCAAAGACATATTCACACCTGTGTTCAGTGAAATAAAAGGATTTGAAATTAATTATGTGTAACAAACACAATATTTTTGATTTATACCTATTTTCTCATAATTTTTGAGCAATTCATCGACGGCTTCCTCATAATCTGGGCTTCTGAAATTTCCTAAAAAGGTTGTGACAACACGCTGGAACGATTTCCACGTTTCTTCCTCATCTGGTGTCAAAACTGTATTGAATGCGGAATCATTGAGCAGTTTTTTGATCTGTGGGCCAACAAATACACCTTCCTTTATCTTTGCGTCAGATAAATTTGGAAATACTGATTTCAAGTACTGGAATGCCGGCCCTTCTTTTTGCAACGCTTTGACGAAATTTTTGAATAGCCCAAGTTTTATATGTAGTGGTGGAAGTATTATGCGTTCTTTTACCACAAGAGGATCATTTTTAACGTTGTCTTTACAAATTGTGAAATTATCCCGTTTTGGCCAATCTTTTCGGACGTAGTGTTCTTTACTGTCCCATTTACACAAAAAACACATATATTTTGTGTATCCCTGTTGCAATCCAGTCAACATGGCAACCACTTTAAGATCGGAACAAATTTTCCAATTGTGTTGATTGTAATTTATCAAATTGAGCAATAGAGCCATTGATTCATACGTTTCCTTCATATTAACGGCATGAGCTAATGGAATAGAAGGTTTCTCATTCCCTTGATGCAGTAAAACGGCTTTCAAGCTCAACTTGCTGCTATCGATGAATAAACGCCATTCAGCTGGATCATATGGCTCACCAAACTCTTCAAACAAGCCGTTTACGTCATGGCAAAAACATGCCTTGTCCTTTGTAGAATAATATTTGTCAAATTTCTTGTGATGATTCCTGTGACAAGAAATTTTGACCTCCTTGCTCAGCATGTTGTGTTCTTTTAAGCGTGATGCCAGCAATTCGGATTTCTCCTTCGATAAGTCGAGATCTCGCACCAAATCATTAAATTCGGATTGTGTAAACAGTTTTGGGTTTCTTTCCAATTCCACCTCGAAGTCTTTCTCGCATTCCTCCTTGAATTCCTCCTCACTTTTTGTAACGGTCAATTTGGATAAACAGGATACGGGACCGAACTTGAATGTGGAACAGGTTTTGTCATAGAAGCCACTTGTGGATACTCAACTGTTTTGTGACGTCCTTGTTGCTTAACTTTTGTCAAGCAGAAATAACAATCCGTTGCATGACAAAACGGTCGACGCCATATGGTGGGCATGTCAAAGGACAAATAGCGACTGACAGATAACAAATAAGTGAGTTAGTAAGTAAGACATTAACACTTATCAAAAATAGATGAAGTAAGATAATGTCGATCAGGAAAGAACAAAGCACTACCATGCTGTACATAAATTGTTTATATGAAAGTTATTCAAAAAATAAATTTACCTTGCGCCTGACATCCACCTAGCCAAGCACGTTTTGCACGAACTACATAATACTTTTGGAATCCACGGTTCGTCAAAGTCTCCAGGATCAATTTTAAAATAAAGCCTGTATGCAGTTTGCAACGAAGCAGTGAAATTGACCGATTTTGTAAATATATAGTTGCCACACGCGTAACAAAACTTTTGAGGATCATTTTTACACTTGAATTCACGTTTTGTCGTATACATCGTTAAGCAATGTTAAAGAAAGAAAGCTGTCAAATTGAGCTGGTTGCGTTAGGTTCTCGCCGAGCGGTCTCACAAACACTAGCGTAAATTATATTGTTGAAAATATCCCATTTAATTTTGCGTGACAGCAGGTAGTATTAGTGAAATGCACCGTATGCGTACACGTCCGCAGAAAGGCTTACTGGAAGTGGTGCATGAACCTAGGAGCGGGACAACGGCCAATCTTGGAACATTCAATTTCCATGATTTTACAAAAAATTTCATAACTTCGACAATTTCCAACCGATTTCATCCATTAAAGGCTCATTTTCTCCAATTTTTAATAGACTTTAAGAATAAATTATGGAATGATTTTTTGAATCTTTTTATCCCATTAAAAATGTTGATTAAAACAAGATTTTTATGGAAAATTCGCAGGAAAAATTAAAAAAAGGCTGTAAATTTTTAAATGACTTCAAAATTAAATTTTTAATTAAGACATAATATTCTGGTGAACGATAGCAAATTTATTTAGCTTCACTTTCATAAAAAAGAAGATTTAAAATTGGTGCACTAGTTCCAAAGATATTGACATTTTAGTAATCGTACTTTTGTCCAAAATTCAAAAAATCAAAATTTTTGTATATCTCAAAAATGGCTCTACTTTAATTTTTTCTGACCACGGCATTGAATTCAGCGTAGGATTTTGCATTAGAAACGTTGGTCAACTACTAAAGTTCACACTTTTTATGTTGTTTTGTAAACTAGTGTTATTTTTATTTGTAGTCATTTAGATGTTTTCACCATCTATTTTTTTTAAGTTTGCCTAGTTAATGTATAACAAGGTAGGTTAGTAAAGGATAGTAAAGGTGTAAACAAGCACACTAATTTGTTCTTGCTAAGCACCGGCGCGAACAAATGTTTTCGACTGCGTGACGGTCATCAACACGCCACTGACATCTCATTCGACAGGTCTAATTGGAAGTGCTTCAAAGAACACTGAACGTAAAAAAAATTATCTACCGGTAAGGGTTGAAAACAAGATTTAAGAAACAAAAACAGTGGCAAAAAATCGATTACCTCATCAAAAACTACCCTCAAACCCATGACGATGCTCAATTAGCCATTCCACACTATAAAAACTAACACCCCACATCGCAATAAAAAAAATCTAATTGATTACTCACGCCTGCTCTCCTTTACTTCGCCATCGGCACGTGAAAGCATAAACAAAACAATAATCCTGTCTTGAGGATTCCCCGCAACATGTGCCAATTTCGCGCGCTCGCTCTCTCTCTCACTCTCCCTCTCTTTCACTCTCTGTTTTTCCCAACCGCATTCGAAGAAAAAAGTGCATCCTTTCCACGCGTTTTCCTTACTCTCGTCGCTTTTCCTCGCTCTCCCGCTAGCGGCTCACTAGCAGAGAGTGAGAGCACCAAGTGCATTCTGCCATTATCCGAACCAATCAGCGTGTACTCTCTCCGGCTTTCGCTCTTTTTTGTTTTGGCGCGCTTGGGCCACCAGCGAATCTGATTGCTTGGATTTTTTTTAAGCTTCCAATGTGACTGGGTGAGAGAGCGCGCGCCTTCGAGCGGCGGACCATGCTGTGCTTGCAATAAGCCGTCGGTGGAGCGCTCACTCGCGCTGGCAACCTCAAGCAAGCAAGAAGAAACAGCAGCAAAAATTTCATGTTAAGTAACGACGACCAGCATCGCAGCGGCAACAGTTCAAGCTCGGACCGCCAACTGGTCGCATCGTCCGATGAGTTCCGATATTTTGGCTTTGAGAGATTTTGTAGTTGAAAACTGATTGTTACATTGTGACTAAAAAGTATAGAAATTTGTTAGAGTTGCTTCATATGCACGACCTTAGAGCGGATTACGCGTGGTTTAAATTTTCCGGGGATAAAGTTTATGTGTGCGAAGAAAGTGGAAGGGTAGCTGCAGATTTCGCGATTAGTGACATGAAAAGAGCGCGACTATAAAAATAAATCAAAAATTTGAGTGTCGTCTTTTTGGGTGGGAAAATCACGAGACGAGAAGATTGAGTGCAAGTGCATCGCATTCGCGTAAATAGTGAAACGAGTGCAGTTTTGTTTTTTTTTTTCCTCACGAAGAGTCGGAAAAAGGCAAATAAATAAAATAGCAGTGCGGAGGCAAATAAAAGCAGATAAAATTAAAACATTTTCGACGGCGCAAGGAAGACGCACAAAAATTCGGCCTTTGGGTCTTTTGGAGGACTGTGCGGTTTATGAGTAGCGAGAGGCTCGATCGTTATCAGCAAACGCAAACGTGTTCCCCTGTAGGAAGAAACGTGTCCATATCTCAGGTGGGAAGAAAATAAATACATGCTGTGAATGTTTGTACTAAAGTGCTTTGGGAAGAAGTAGAAAATTGAGGCAACAGATCGAGCGTTCCGAACAAGTGGTTATCGAGAGATTGTTTTGTGCCAGCACGCGGCAGCAAGAAGAAAACCGACGAAATTTGCATAACGTATATTCTCAAAACCTAATTCAGAATAGAGTGAGTTTGTTTGACGGCTACGGAGCAGGTTCGTACTCCCATGCACTGAAAATTCTGAAATCACCCTTCAACAGTGCATTTCTCGACGCAGCGTTCCGCCTTCTACCGTGTGTTGAAACGCACGATTTAAAAGTATAATATAACGTCTACTGCACACTCGCAGAAATTATACTTTGGGTGCTCACGTAGATCGGAACATGCCCAGTGTGGCGGCGAGAGACGGCAGTGGCATTCCAGTACCTACCAACTACTAGCGCTACACAACTACGGAAACAACGATCAATTAGAGCTAATAACCGTACAACCAAGCATCATCCCCAACTCACCAGACCTTGGGACGCAAACTATGAACTATGGGTAAGCCGGTGCGAAACAGGCAACCTCCCGACACTGGTGGCATTTACCTGCATCCGCTCAAACCGACGACGGCGATGGCCGAAATGTGCGTCAACTTTAAGCGAACCCTCCACTCGGCACACCCGCTGCCCCACAACAAACACTCCCACCGATATCCGCACCATTACCAGTATCCAGCACCAACCACGGCAACGGCAGGTTGCACCACCCGAGTCGGAAGACTCCTTAGTAGCAGTTATTTATCGAAATTCCTGATTTTATTGTTCCTATCAATCTGTGATAATCGAGCGTGTAGAACGCTTCCAACCCTAGCAGAGGCCGCTACCGTAGTCAGTAGCAGCAGCAGCAGCAGCAGCAGCAGCACCACCGTTCCCATTCTAGCCACCACTGGCAGCAGCAGTAGCAGCAGTAGTAGTAGCAGTAGCAGTAGCAGTACACCTAGCAGTAGTCAGACAGTAGTTTCAAGTGATAGTGAAAGCAGTGGAACCGCGGTGACGTTCAATCGAACCAAACTGCAGGAGATCGTCATGGAGGGACTCGGGTTGAGTGAAATTCCCGACGTTAGAGCGGTAAGTAGCTCGCATGCATTTCATAAGCTTACGATTTTAATTGCTACGTAGATAAGACAAACAAATATGGGCAAGCAGAGCGGGGACAGTTGAAACCGTGCGTGCGTCAGTGTGGGTGTGTGTTTTGTTCCGTAACAGGCCTTTTCTGGGGAGAAATTCGAATGGGAATTAAATTGTTTGCTTCCGGTTCGACTGGGACTTGACTCCTAGTCTGGATCATTAGTGGCTCGGGAGAATTGACTGTCTGTATGGTTATTGAGATGAATGGCTTGTCGTTGGGGTAACAATAATTGCACACAAAACTGGAGATAATTTTTTTTTTTGGGAAAACTGATCTGCACAAGCTCCATCATTAAAGCGATCTCCTCCGAAAGAAGGAGCGTTGCGCTCTAGTGATGAAGCGTTGTCCTTCATGTAGTAGTGGAACGGTACTTACTTTGCACAAGGGCAGTTCAACGCCAAATGAAACTTGTTTTTTTTTTCATTAAGGAGAAATGACGAATCGATCCGACCCAACCTTCTCTGATTTGCATGAAACTTGAATAATTATTTGTGCCGTATTGATTGTAGGGCGATGAAGCGCTAAAGCCAGGGCCCTTAATTTGGAGGGGGCCCCAGAAAACCGAAAACGGAACATGTAACGAAATTATGAAAGATTTTGAACGTTAATAACTCGGCTGCCCCTGGACCAATTTCAATAATTTTATCACCAATCGATCAAAAATATTTCTACGCAATGCTTCAGATTGTTGATTTTCAGCAATAAACTATTGAAAAAATGGTAAATGTCAAGCATTGTTCAAAAGCGTCGAAATAACTAATAAATCCACCAATTACGTGCATGCATATGCTGCTTCCCCAACACAGTCATCAGAGAATCGTTTCTAGACGAAACAAGTCGAAGTGGCATTGCTGCTTCCCCAACACTACTGTCATCAGAGAGTCGTTAGTAGACGAAACAAGTCGAAGTGGCATTCGCCTCCGATCTTCGGGCGTATGCGAAAAGGGAGGATGCGGTTGCCTAACATTTTGCACACTCATCGCCATATTCAGAACCACACGCCCCCAACGACCACACAAAATTCTCTCCAGAGTTGAAATCTTGTAACCAAACTTGGAAGCAGGGGTGCTAGTGATTTTGATCGATTCTCTTCATCGACTTTCTGTTTCGTTAATAACTCGACGGCAAACACATCCATTGATACGCTTGTTGTTCTGCATGATAGAAGAGCATAGCAGATATAGTGCGAAATAGGTTAGTGAAGCCATGGTCATCAAAAGAGGAAATCGATTAAGAAAATTGACTTTCACCCCTCTGCTTCTAAGCCCCTTAATTACAGGGATGCCTAAAAGTTCAATTATTCGATTAACGATTAATCGCATAGATTTTTATAGCTATTCGATTAAATATTTGTCGAATTCTCAATTATTCGAGCGCGTAACCGACATCCCTTCTTATTTCTACTCGTTTGATTTAGCACTGTAGAGAAAATAAATAAAAGTACTAATTTATCTGAACAGGCATAGAGAAGAACCATGACGTGAAACAGGATCATAAATTCGCCCAAAAAAGTGTTAAGCGTCTTTCTGCTAAAGGATAAGATTTGCCAACTTGTTGAGAGAAGGAGTTTAACGAGAAAACTAAAAAACGGGAGGAGCTTTAGCTGGGTGGACACTGATTTTCGCGGCCTTCCAACCTGTGGCATTAAACCCCTGGCCAGCAGCAGACGGGCCGAGAGTCTTGCGAGTGTCTAATCATTGAATCGAAGAATATGGGATTGTCCGATCCGATTTGCTGATCCAGCTGCCTACACGTCATCATCATCTTCCAAAGGCTTTAAGTCTGTACTACCGTCCCAAGATTTTCCAAAAGAGTTAAATTTCTGAACAGGTCCCAACTAAAATTCATATCAAAGGTTCTTTTCAGGACAATCATAGTCATTCGAAAGAGTAGAAACAGAGAGAACCCCGCTCAAATTTCTATTCCTACACAAAACACAAGCTCCTGCTGCAGTTAACAAATAACATTTATTATATAAGACCCCGTTACCATTGAGTACAACCCCACACGACTGTCCCTTGTAGTTTTTTTTTTTTTTTTTTTTTTCAATGTGAGAATTATCCTCACCAACCAGGGTTCTGCATTTTTTAAACAAAAAAAAAATAAAATGAACTCTCCGCAGAATCGTTTCATTTCGAGCAATATCATTTTCGTGTAAGTCATTGTGTTTCTAGTTATCAAGTCACGATGAACATTCCTCCTGCCAAACATGACTTGACTATCGCTTGTTTCGTTCGTTAAGTACATCAGTTAATTTCATTTGAAGCTAGGACTTGTTTCAGTTGACGCAATGAATGACTCGAAAACTGCTTCCTTCGTGTTTTCCTCTTTCATTTCAATTCGAGGCTCGTTCGACTTGTCACGTGTCGTTGGCAGGCATCAAAATATAGTATCTGGATATGCGGATAGTATCCGCACAATATCGGATGGCATGCTGATTATATGTAGTGATTAAACGTTATTTTATATTAAACGAAAATTAAATTAACGAGGCCTTTCTGGAGTCCAAGATGGCGGCCATCGGGTTTCAGATAAAGTGTCAAATATTTTCGGAACGGGGACGACACGTCGATGCTGAAAATCGACAGTATTTCCCACTTTTTTGAAATCTTGGATTTCATTCTATAGTTATCATTCCTATTCTAAAAATACCTATATTGAAAATTATTGAACAGTATTTCCCACTTTTGCTTAAACTGGAAGCCGCGATCTTGAATTTCAAAATGGCATCTCATATCAATTTTTGAGCTCTAGGCTTCAGATTCCAAAAATATCCATATTGATAGGTCGGCATCAGTATTTCTAACTTTTTCTGAAATATGAAGCCGCCATTGGATATCGATTTCCTGTCTCTAGCCGTCATCTCGATTAAAAAACATACCAATATGGTTTGACTTTTTCTTAAATCGGAAGCCGCCATCTTGGATTTCAAAATGACTTCGAATATCAGCCTCTAGCCGTCATCCCAATTTAAGAAATATCTTTATTAAAAGATATTTAACAGTATTGCCCTCATTTTTAAACTGGAAGCCGCCATCTTGGGTTTTAAAATGGAGTCGAAATCGATTTTCGATATTTAGACGTCACCTCGATTCCAATCCAATTCTCAGTAGCGTCAGTATTTGAGCATGAGCATGATTGACCGCCCACGGTTGCTGCTCTGTTATTGACAGATCAGCTGCAATTACAAAGAGAACCAACAGATTATCAGAGTTGGTTGAAAATTCTATTCAACATTAAGCTTTAGAGTGATAATTCATTAGCTAGAGAATGATCTTAGAAGAAGACAGGTGGATAGTTCCGCTAGAGTACGGCAGTATGAAAATTGAATAGAAGTTAAAAATGAGCGAAGTGCCATTAATGCAACATTACAAAGTCAAACACACACCTTTTGCCTAACCTGTACGATGTACGCGGAGATTTGAAGTATGTCTTCAAATCTACAGGCAAAAAGTGTGCACCCGCCTTTGCTCATTACTGTCTGCGGCTGTGGAATAGTTCTAGTGACGTTGCATCACTACCTAAAGCCCCACGTTGCTGAGAGCATTTCCATTCGATGGTGTGTTATAATGCAATTCTTCTTTACCCAACTATTGTGTTGCTCCTCTCGTCATGACCAACGTGGTCATCTCAGAGAGCAAGCAGTAGGGTCAACGGGTGGCAACTAACGATTTTAAATTGGCTCACTACTTGACTAGCCTATTGGTCCCAAGCACATCGATTAACGTACCCCATTCTAATCAAAATTCTACGTGGAGGCGAACCAGCCTCAGGCTGAAAGCCTGCTTAATAAAGGTTTTCCTATGTTTCGAGGGGTGCATCGATTAGCTTGGGACCGAAGAGAGTACCAGAGCTGAGCCAAAAAGTTGAGCACGTTTCTTCGGGACCCTCTAGTCTTAGAGTTACCTCTATGGTAGGTAGGTGTTGCGTGCTGTACAATCATCAGCATTGTTGATGGCTACTCCCGCCTTGAGTTGTCACATTCAAAGTATTTTTATGTTACTTCATATGCGAAGTTTGCGATTTTCAGAGTTGGTTGGAAATGCTATCTAACATGAAGCTTTAGTGTGATTATTTATGAATTATGAATTTATTAGCTAGAAAATGATCTTAGAAGAGGGTAGGTGGATAGTTCCGCTGAGTACGGCAGTATGAAAATAGATTAGAAGTTAGGTAGTGATGAAACGTCACTAGAACTATTCCACAGCCGCAAAATAACTAAACTTATCCTTGTTTGCTTCTTCCGTCATGTTACATGCAGGATCCTTTCAAATCCCCATACTCCAGGCTTTTGACGATCTCCAGTGACTGCAGTTCTTGCAGGATGGCTTCTGTGGGCGAAGTCGATGTTATCGACGCAGAGTTGAAAATTATCTGGGGAGAATCACCCGGGTGCAAGAGATATCATTCTCTGGGGTGAATCTCTGCTTGTCTCCTCGGAGATTTCTCCTGGAACTACTGGAGAGATTTTTAGACACAGCACGAGAGAGTGAGAATGTTGACAGTTCACTTTTTGTCTGTTTATACACTCAATTCCGTGAGAAAGATAGCAGCGCAAATGCGTTATTGTTTCTCCAAAGATTCCGGCAGAGCTTGACGTGAGAGAGTGAAAACATCAATAAAATGGCTAAAAAACGTATACAAAGACAAGGGCGTAGCCAGGTTTTGAGCTAGGGAGAGGCGAATAAAAAATTTACTATAGAAAATTTTGCCGAATGCCATTTCACCGAACGCCTTTGTGTTGCTGAATTTAGTGCGGTTTGAGGACAGTACCGAAAAAGTGGTTGTGAATGTTGTGCTTTGTAGGGCAAATGAAAAAACATTAAAAGTGGTCACGGTATTCAACTTGAAGCGGCATCTCGTCAATATTCATCGGGTGTTCTGGTGTGGCTAGATCGCTGCTCCTCTCTCCATTTTCGCTGCAGCTGCTGACGGCATT